TATATCTTATAAAGTAAGCTCAACGGCTACTTACACCAAGCTATTACATCATTCTATGTAAACTATATCTTATAAAGTAAGCTCAACGGCTACTTACGCCAAGCTATTACATCATTCTATGTAAACTATATCTTATAAAGTAAGTCCAACGGCTACTTACACCAAGCTATTACATCATTCTATGTAAACTATATCTTATAAAGTAAGCCCAACGGCTACTTACACCAAGCTATTACATCATTCTATGTTAACTATATCTTATAAAGTAAGCCCAACGGCTACTTACACCAAGCTATTACATCATTCTATGTAAACTTTATCTTATAAAGTAAGTCCAACGGCTACTTACACCAAGCTACTACATCATTATATGTAAACTTTATCTTATAAAGTAAGTCCAACGGCTACTTACACCAAGAGCTATTACATCATTCTATGTAAACTTTATCTTATAAAGTAAGCCCAACGGCTACTTACACCAAGCTATTACATCATTCTATGTTAACTATATCTTATAAAGTAAGCTCAACGGCTACTTAAAATTACACCAAAGAACTATGTCATCCTTTAAAAAATCATTTTTCTTACATGAGGTTTTCCAGACCCAATAATCCCATTCCTCTGAAGTCAGTCTTTGGATCATCTCCTTGGAATCCAATATCACTCCAATGCTTTCCGATACGACTTGGCAAAGGCTTGTCCGGCATTAAAACATTCCACAGCTGAAAGAATCCATTATTTCTATGTTCACTTCTGAGATACCCACTGTAGTCAAATCAGTAAATCTATATAGTACCAACCTCCTGTTATACTTAACAACATGATACATTTACAGGTGACATTCCTACCTAAGCTATGTAGTACCAGTCTCCCGTTGTAGAGAAAAATGTGCCACATTTACAGGTGACATTCCTACCCAAGCTATATAGTACCAGCCTCCAGTTATACTTAACAACATGATACATTTACAGGTGACATTCCTACCTAAGCTATATAGTACCAGTCTCCTGTTGTAGAGAACAATGTGCCACATTTACAGGTGACATTCCTACCTAAGCTATATAGTACCAGTCTCCTGTTATACTTAACAACATGATACATTTACAGGTGACATTCCTACCTAAGCTATATAGTACCAGTCTCCTGTTATACTTAACAACATGATACATTTACAGGTGACATTCCTACCTAAGCTATGTAGTACCAGTCTCCCGTTGTAGAGAAAAATGTGCCACATTTACAGGTGACATTCCTACTTAAGCTATATAGTACCAACCTCCTGTTGTAGAGAACAATGTGCCACATTTACAGGTGACATTCCTACCTAAGCTATGTAGTACCAGCCTCCTGTTGTAGAGAACAACGTGCCACATTTACAGGTGACATTCCTACCTAAGCTATATAGTACCAACCTCCTGTTGTAGAGAACAATGTGCCACATTTACAGGTGACATACCTACCTAAGCTATGTGGTACCAACCACCTGTTGTAGAGAACAACTTGCCACATTTACAGGTGACATTCCTACCTAAGCTATATAGTACCAAATTCCTGTTGTAGAGAACAACGTGCTACGTTTACAGGTGACATTCTTACCTAAGCTATATAGTACCAGCCTCCCATTGTAGAGAACAACTTGCCACATTTACAGGTGACATTCCTACCTAAGCTATATAGTACCAGCCTCCCGTTGTAGAGAACAATGTGCCACATTTACAGGTGACATACCTACCTAAGCTATGTGGTACCAGCCTCCTGTTGTAGAGAACAATGTGCCACATTTACAGGTGACATTCCTACACAAGTTATATGGTACCCAGCTTCCTGTTGTAGAGAACAATGTGCCACATTTACAGGTGACATTCCTACACAAGTTATATGGTACCCAGCTTCATGGTGCTGGAATCAACACAGCCTGAATACACATTTTATTTCTTGTTTAAACAAAACATATAAAAATTGTCACAGTAAATATCTAAATTGAGTAATAGCCAACAACAACTCACAAAGCTTGTATAGTGATCTATATACAGAATAACTGACATGATCTAATTAGTAAAGCATGACTCTAATAAAGAGATCTAAAAGGTTTGAAATGACTGACACAATGGTCTAAGAAGTAAAGAATGACTAATAAAGTGATCTAAAAAGGCTTGAAATGACTGACACAAAGGACTAAAAAACCCAGCGTGACTCACATGGTGATCTAAAAGGTTTGAAATGACTGACACAATGGTCTAAGAAGCCCAGTGTGACTCACATGGTCATCAAGAGGCCCCGAATGACTGACACAGTGGTCTATAAGACATGAAATGAATTCTTAAAAAGTAGTCCCAAAGGTATGTAATGACTCTTACACATTCATTTAACAGATACATAATGCTGAACAAGTGACTGAAACATAGCTTTAGGAAGAGGTTAGAGGTGAAAGGGCTGAGCATTCATTATCTTACTCAAAAGGTAACTAATCAATTAAAATAAGAAATAGCATCTACCTTATTCTACTGACAGGAGTCTTTTCTTGAGGGGTGGGGGGAGTGCTAACTAAATTTTGCTACATCAGATGAAAAAATATTGTGTACGAGTAGAACTGACTTTTATATTGATAATATTCTATCAAGACTTTGTGTACGAGTAGAACTGACTTTTATACAAGTTCGAAATCACTGTTTACATATGATAATTGGATTGTTAAAACATAAAGCCATTTAAAGGGTTACTGTTGAACTACTTATATAAAAATCAACATCATAGGTTTAGGTTATGTCACAGAATATTTATTACTATAACATGTTAACACAGCATATTACTTGTAAATGTTATTGTAACATATAACTCCAAACTAAGCAGCCGGACAAGCAGTAAATTGGTTAGGAATGTCACTGTGAAGTCACTAGTAACTTTGAAAGATTTGCAAAGTTCCATGTCTGTGATGGGAGTCTGTTTTTATATATCGACAATATCCCGGTCCCCATACAAAGCTGGTCTGTATAGGTAAGTGGCAACTTTGAAAGATTTGCAAAGTTCCATGTCTGTGATGGGAGTCTGTTTTTATATATCGACAATATCCCGGTCCCCATACAAAGCTGGTCTGTATAGGTAAGTGGCTGGAAAGAAACTATTACTGAAAAGAATAATCTTAAATCAATTATGGAGTTTGCGATAAAGCATATAAGTGATACTGCATTACATGTGCAGAAGGTTTTGTGGTTAGAAGAGTCAAAAATTGAGTTTTTTGGTCTAAATTCAAACCATTACATCTTGTGCAAGCCCAACACATCACCCAGTTAACACCATCCCAACTGTCAAGCATGGTGGTGGCAGAATCATGTTATGGGGATGCTTCTCATCAGCAGGGACTGAGAAGCATGTCAGGATTGAGGAGAAGATGGATGTTGCAGAGTACAGAGAAATCCTAGAGGAAAACCTACTCAAGTCAGTCAAGAATCTAAAACTGGATCAAAAATTCACATTTCAGCAGGACAATGAATGACCCGAAGCACACGGCAAAATCACGCTGGAGTGGTTTCAAAAGAAGAAAGTGAATGTCTGTAGTGGACAAGTCAAAGTCGTGACTTGAATCCAATGGAAAATTTTGGCAAAACTTGAAGATTGCAGTCCATCAATGATCCTCAACAAACTTTTCAGAATTGGAGCAATTTTTCCAGGAAGAATTGGCAAAAAATTACACATCCCACTGTGTAAAGCTGGTAGAGAGATATCCAAGAAGACTTACAGCAGTAATTGCTGCCAAAGGGGCTTCTATCAAGTACTGACTTAGGGGGCTGAATACTTATGCAATCAGCAAATTTCAATTTATATATTTTCTATGAAGGGATTTTGCTGACTAACAACCTCAGTGTTACATTTAATCATGGAGTTTTGAATAAAAACAAGTTAATTAACAAAAATTTTTTACATAATTTGTATTTCATCAAAAAGTGACACTACTGGTAGGGTTGAATACTTTTGAAAGGCACCGTATTAAGCCGAACAATATGTGAAAAATACTTAAGTGAAATTCTTACAAGAACATGCAGAAAATGGAATCTGTGCAGACCCTTCTAGTGAGAAACACACTCCACAATTGTTTCCTTTCTGTCACTATATTCTCAGGAAAGAACTCATCTTTTTAATTTCTATCTCTACACCATCTTCTTTATGTGGCACTCTAGCTCTCAATTTTGTAGACAGGTGAGTGGCTTGTTCTGAAGTTAATATTCGCATAACCTGAAAACATATATTAGGTCAATAATCACCTCCTCACAGGACCACCCACCAGTGCCTCTTCCGCCTTGTCAAGAATGAGTTTGTAGTAGATACAACGTACTCAAGGGGAGTACTGAGCAGGAAGGGTGTGTTATCCCTCTGTTTGTGGAGAAGTACAGTCTCATGCTGACTACCCACCAGTGTCTCTTCTGCCTCGTCAAGAAAGAGTTTGTAGTAGATACAACGTACTCAAGGGGAGTACTGAGCAGGAAGGGTGTGTCATCCTTCTGTGTGTGGAGAAGCATAGTCTCATGCTGATTACAAACTGGCACAGTCATATTATTATGTCTAGGAATGAGAGTTTAGTTCAAAGGTTTGGCACATGTGCAAAACCTTTTTGGCAGTAGCACAAAGTATTAGTTCTCTGTTCTGTGAAGAGGTGAGTAACATGTTCTCAAGTTTAATTTCCATAGTATTATTAAATATGAGATAAGTTCTGTACAATAATTACATTTTAATACCAATTTTTTATAGTGCTTTTATTTCTAGAACAACAGATTATATTACCTTGATCAATTTATCTTCATGCTCACAGTTGTCTGAAGAATATGAAGTCTTTCTCAAGTTTTCTACCTCATGTAGCAGCTGTTTGTAGCCATAGATTTGAAGCAGACATGAACGAAATGATGGAACAAACCTTTGAATGAAAAAAGAATTTTCAACTTTATATTACTATGACTAAGTTCTATGAGAGAAATAAAAACATGTTTAATATAGGCTTGAGATAAATATATACGTTAACAAACACTTTCTCACAAATTATGTTTAATATAGGCTTGAGATAAACATATACATTAACAAACACAAACACTTTCTCACAAATTATGTTTAATATAGGCTTGAGATAAACATATACATTAACAACCACAAACACTTTCTCACAAATTATGTTTAATATAGGCTTGAGATAAACATATACATTAACAAACACAAACACTTTCGCACAAATTATTAAAATGTAACAAAGTGAAGATCAACATATTCAAATTAAATCCTTAAATTACAAAGTGTACTCCATATGTTACAGGGAGTAATATGCCTGGTATATTCCATATGTTACAGGGAGTAATATGCCAGGTATACTCCATATGTTACAGGGAGTAATATGGCAGGTATACTCCATATGTTACAGGGAGTAATATGCCTGGTATACTCCATATGTTACAGGGAGTAATATGCCTGGTATACTCCATATGTTACAGGGAGTAATATGCCTGGTATACTCCATGTTACAGGGAGTAATATGCCTGGTATACTCCATGTTACAGAGAGTACTATGCCTGGTATACTCCATATGTTACAGGGAGTAAGATGCCAGGTATACTCCATATGTTACAGGGAGTAATATGCCAGGTATACTCCATGTTACAGGGAGTAATATGCCAGGTATCACACTACACTTTGTGATCCAATCTTACCCTTGCATGAGATTTTTTGAATTATCTGGTTTGTATGCCTGGTGTTCTCCATTTGCCCGTGCATGAGATTTTTTGAATTATCTGATTTGTATGATTTATAAAGGTATGTAATGGTCATTTTGGTTACAGTATTGCTATAAAAAACATTCTTTTTAGGAATTAGGCCTTTTTATTAGAATTAAGGTTTAATTTCTATTTTGGAATTTATAAATATATCTTGGATGTCAAAATAGATTATGACCGTAGACCTAGTAAGAATAGATATTGTATGGTAGCATATTCAACAAAAAAATTTACAAAAATACTAAGTATAGTATTAAACAATTTTTTTTACAGTGCTTGGAATGTTTTCACTAAGATTCAAATAATTTAATATTGTATTTTTGTTCCAGATTGTATCTATCTGAAAATAGCTATGAGTTGATGAAACATTTCTCAACTATTATGGAAAGTAACAATTCCCTGTATTGGTAACTGTTTAAATAACATTTTGACATGCATAATTTAAGTGTAAACAAACTCATCAACAGTTTTAAAAATATGGCAATTTCAAATAAGTAAAAATTCAAACAGCACAGCAAAATCAGAAAATAAATAATAACTGAACAAATAATTATATTTATAAACCAGCATTTAACAAGTTCAAAACTTTATGATTTTCTGACCAACTTTTTTTTAACCTACGAAGTAATTTCATTCACGAATATTTTAGTTCCAACAGGTTTTGTAAAGTAATTAACTTAATGGTTAATTACTCATTAGCTACTGTTTTTAAAGTAACTTAATGGTATATAAAATTCATTAGCTGCTGTTTTAAAGTAACTTAATGATATATAAAATTCATTAGCTGCTGTTTTAAAGTAACTTAATGGTTAATTACTCATTGGCTTTTAAAACAGCAGCTAATGAGTTTTATATACCATTAAGTTACTTTAAAACAGCAGCTAATGAGTTTTATATAGCATTAAGTTACTGACTATAAAACAGCAGCTAATGAGTTTTATATACAATTAAGTTACTTTAAAACAGCAGCTAATGAATTTTATATACCATTAAGTTACTTTAAAACAGCAACTAATGAGTTTTATATACCATTAAGTTACATTAAAACAGCAGCTAATGAGTTTTATATACCATTAAGTTACTTTAAAACAGTGTAACTTAATGGTATATAAAACTCATTAGCTGCTGTTTTATAGTCAGTAACTTAATGCTATATAAAACTCATTAGCTGCTGTTTTATAGTCAGTAACTTAATGATATATAAAACTCATTAGCTGCTGTTTTATAGTCAGTAATTTAATGTTATAAAATTCCCTAGCTTTTTTATTATAATTTGTGTGATAATAGGTCCATAAAATTGATAATAACTTAAATCACATCATTCTTATGAGGAACATATATTTAGTCAGTAAAGAAAGGCATGATTTACGTAGTAAACAGTACACTGTTATTAATAACTGGAAACTTTTCTTTGGCCAACAGAAACTGATACAATTTTTATTATTATGAATATCTTATTGCCATGTGGCATCACATGAACATTATCATTAAAAGTAAGGAGTATAATTTTATACGTTGTGGGGTATTTATTAAGTTTTGTCGTAATTATTTCTAAATTGAAGCTGGTGTCATGAAGTACATGGAGCATGATACTAAAGATCTACAACACTGTATAGAAATCGTAAAAGGGAAAAGCTAGTCACACTGCAGTGAAGAAATAAGAACAATTTCTTACATTGAAAATGTACTTGTGATATGTACTTACCTCAACTCACACAAAGCTATCTTGATTTTGGTTTGCCCTCTAGGCATTGCTAAACATTTTATCTCTCATAGCACACCAGTCTTTTATACTCCTTCATTTTTCACCACTTCAGAACGTGTACTGATCATGTGACTACCCTCCACCATTCATACTGTGCTATGTATACTAGTGCAGGTAGCTCCCTCTATTATTCTAGCACAATTCTCACTTTCGAGAATTGGCATGTACAAACTAGAAATACCAGTATATCAGTGAGTGAGTGGAGGTAAATACCTACTGAGAAAACATTTTCAGTGTAAATAAATGTTAAGTCAGAAACAGTACTACTTCCACTCACCGAAAGCTAGAATACCACATTGAAAAGGTGGAGGTGCCAGTGAAGGCACAACAGTATTTAATCAAGTGGAGAGTAACCCCCTTGAAAGAACAGGTGCGCCATAATAAGAAAAGAAGGCAAACCTGTTGGATATAGCACTACTTGTGGAACAGGTATGCTCCTTGCCTAGTAACAAACACAGTAATACATACAGGGTGGAAGGTAATAAAGCAGGCACCAGAGCATCAATAAAGAGATTTACAGCACCATTCATTGGACGTATAACTATGACGTGAAACAGCACAGTGTGGACAAAAATGGAATGATTAGTATATACTCAAAAATGAACACAAATATATATGTGTGAAGGGTAGAGTCTTAGGAAACACCAGAGCACATCAAATGCTGTCCACTGGCAAAATATCCAGTGGAAACACCTTGTCTACAATATTATGATAACGAGAGCGATCCTCTCCATCACAAAAAAACATCCAGTGTAAACACCTTGAATTAGTAGTTTGATGAGAAAGTGTCAGGTAATTCTGAATCAGCCCGTTAAGAACAGATAGTACAAAATTCATCCACATATGTAGCAACTGTTAGCATGAGACAGAGTGATAGTTAGTCATAATAAGGTTCCGTAGCAACTGTTAGCATTTATTATGACTAACTATCACTCTGTCCCATGCTAACAGTTGCAACGGAACCTTATTATGACTAACTATCACCCTGTCCCATGCTAACAGTTGCTACGGAACCTTATTATGACTAACTATCACCCTGTCTCATGCTAACAGTTGCTACAGAACCTTATTATGACTAACTATCACCCTGTCTCATGCTAACAGTTGCTACAGAACCTTATTATGACTAACTATCACCCTGTCTCATGCTAACAGTTGCTACGGAACCTTATTATGACTAACTATCACTCTGTCCCTGTCTCATGCTAACAGTTGCTACGGAACCGAGTGATAGTTAGTCATAATAAGGTTCCGTAGCAACTGTTAGCATGGGACAGAGTGATAGTTAGTCATAATAAGGTTCCGTAGCAACTGTTAGCATGAAACAGGGTGATAGTTAGTCATAATAAGGTTCCGTAGCAACTGTTAGCATGGGACAGAGTGATAGTTAGTCATAATAAGGTTCCTGATAATTTGATAAAAGTAGACATCGCTAGGGCTAAAGGACCATAAATTTTATATGAATAGACCAAGTGCAACCTGCAGTGGCAAGGAACGTCCAAGGAAAGCACCTTGGGATACATCAGATTATGCCAAGCGCGGTCCGTTCGGACAGAAAACATCCAGTGAAAACACCTTGCATAAGATACAGAGATCAACAAGTGTTGTTTGCCCAGGCAAAAACATCCAGGGGAAGAGCCTTGGGATACTACTGAGTATGTCAAGTGTGGTCCATCCAGGGGAAGAACCTTGGGATACTACTGAGTATGTCAAGTGTGGTCCATCCAGGCAGAAAACATCCAGGGGAAGAACCTTTGGATACTACTGAGTATGTCAAATGCGGTCCATCCAGGCAGAAAACATCCAGGGGAAGAGCCTTTGGATACTACTGAGTATGTCAAGTGTGGTCCATCCAGGTAGAAAACATCCAGTGGAAGAGCCTTGGGATACTACTGAGTATGTCAAGTGTGGTCCATCCAGGGGAAGAACCTTTGGATACTACTGAGTATGTCAAGTGCGGTCCATCCAAGCAGAAAACATCCAGGGGAAGAGCCTTGGGATACTACTGAGTATGTCAAGTGTGGTCCATCCAGGCAGAAAACATCCAGTGGAAGAGCCTTGCATAAGAAATTTATTTTGTGATGAACAATTGCAGTCAGCCCGGAGAAAAACACCTGGGGAAACACCTTGGATCCAGAATATTACGTCATTGTATAATCAATAAGTATAACGACGATAGCCCTCTTCTCACTGAGTGGGTATATACGAGTTACGAAGTGTGATTTAGTTTACTGTACAAACCCCACTCAGGAAGAAACCTCCATGGTCTACCACTCCAGCAACTGGGAAACAGAAGTAGCAAGAACTCCCATGCTCCACTAAAACAAGAGATAGGGAGGGGGATATACACTGGGGAGTCCAGAAGAATGACCCACTGGATACAGTTCAATGGGTGTCTGTGATTTCCTATTTTGAAAAGCATAAAGACCCCAATTGTAAGAATCATGGGTCAGTAGGGATGGGCAAAAATTGCCATTTGTTTTACTCATGAAGTCTATGAATGATGGTCCTTTATATATGAACCAGTGATAGGAATATATATACACACACACACACCAACGGAAATCACAACAAATAAGGTTACCTTGTATGAATTTTTACATTAATATTCTTCGTATCAGTGACAGTCTTGATAGCATACTCTACAGCACTATAACTGGTCTCCTCGGTAAACCTTCCACTCTCTGCTAGGCTGGATAGCTGTTGAACAACTCGTTTCAAACATGGTGTTCTAGACAGTTCCAGAGAGTATTCTGCAATGTAATATTATATAAAGCATAAAGTAAAACAAACACAAATGATATGGTTTGGCTTTCTGGTAATACTGTGCCTAAAAACTAAAAAATGAATCTCATAAATTAATTATAGTAATGATTATGTTTTATTCTCTTCTGCACATTTATGTTTAGTACAAGGAATATTACATCTTCTAAAGAAATCGTTAAAAACAATACTACTGATGTTATTAGGTATAGATTGTACATTAATAAAGGCTTTCCAGCCAGGAAAACTATTTTCAGAAATAAAATTAGTTATTTAGGTGAGTATTTAGGGCTAGTTAACCCTAGAACACCAGCATGGGATCACTATGACCTCATACAAGTTAAACCTGTATTCTAATCATGCTGATGTTTTAGAGTTAAATGAGCATTTACAGTTACTAAGATGAAAATTTAGGGTTATTTAGGTAAGAATTTAAGACTATAAAGGTGTAAATTTAGGGTTATTTAGGTAAGAATTTAGGACTATTAAGGTGTAAATTTAGGGTTATTTAGGTAAGAATTTAGGACTATTAAGATGAAAATTTAGGGTTATTTAGGTAAGAATTTAGGACTATTAAGATGAAAATTTAGGATTATTTAGGTAAGAATTTAGGACTATTAAGATGAAAATTTAGGATTATTTAGGTAAGAATTTAGGACTATTAAGGTGTAAATTTAGGGTTATTTAGGTAAGAATTTAGGACTATTAAGGTGTAAATTTAGGGTTATTTAGGTAAGAATTTAGGACTATTGAGATGAAAATTTAGGGTTATTTAGACTATTAAGATGAAAATATTCCAGATGTTTTCATTCAAGAAAATTAGGGTAATCTTTAACATGATAACTGATACTCATATAATAGCAATAAAGATATTTAGAAATAAAGTTATTGTTATTAATAAACAAGATTATAACTATAAAATTAAATCATCATCTTCCTTGCCTAATAAGAACAGGTTAGTTACCATCTGTCTGGAGATGAAGAATGTAATGATGATGATGTTTAACCTTATATCTGATGTTTTTTTTGAAATTTTATCACAAAAATACCAATCTAACAAAATGGTTATTTACCCCAAATCCAAACTGACATCATTACCAGATCAAAAGTCAAAGATAACCAGAAACAAAGTGTTTTAAATGAGGACTTAAAAAATTAATTATTATAGGGTTGATGGAAATATTGCTAACACTAATACTTGTATATCAGGCACCCACAGCCATTTTTAAATAACCTAATATCAACAAAGTACATGTATAAAACATATCTTGGGCTTAGCATTAACTTTATTTTCAAGTTTAGGGAAATAGTGTTGAAGAGGGCCCTTTCCACTTGGATGTAACAGCAACATTTTGGTGAATCCTACTACAACAACCTACATTCTGGTGAATCCAACTACAACAACCTACATTCTAGTGAATCCTACTACAATAACCCACATTCTAGTAAATCCTACTACGACAACCCACATTCTAGTGAATCCTACTACAACAACCTACATTCTAGTAAATCCTACAACAACAAATCAACATTCTAGTAAATCCTACTACAACAACCCATATTCTAGTAAATCCTACTACAACAACCCACATTCTAGTGAATCCTAGTATACCAACCAACATTCTAGTCAAACTTAGTAGTAATATATAATGATACCAGAATACTTACAATAAACTATAACATGTACTTTCATATTATATGATCATGTACTACGAACAACCTAATATAGGTAATAAATTGATAGTTATTTCAAAGTAGATGTGCAGTTTTCACATAGATTTACACCAAAACTCTACACAGAATCCAAATATTGTGCACTATATTAAGATTCAGTTCATTGTATGTTTGTGTATTAAAGGTTCTATGTTGTTTATATTTGAGACAATCTGGTATCCAGGTGCTAGAACACAAGTGTACCTACCAACTCCTGTAGTCCGTGGGGCTCCTTTTTCTTCACCATAACATACTCGTTGCAGCTCACATAACCTTGTAAAGTGATGAAGAAACCATTTCACTAAAGGTCTTAAGTACCAATGGAGGTAAGACCAAAAGCTGCTAAGAACAGGAAGCATTCCTTTCAACACCACTCAACAAGTATACAGTCTGTTGACGTATGTAATCCTCATCTGTACAGGTATAACAACAAATAGAAATTTGGTTCAATATGAAATTATTCAATATTTTCTATTTTAGAACAAAGAACCAAAGGTAGTTTGTCACTAGAGAAAAATATGTTGAAAAGTTTAATAATTAATGTTACAAAGTCAATGTTGACAATTATAATTTTATACTGACCAATTACAACCCATATATGTTTTAATTAAACAGAACATTTAATCACTACATAGGACAAAGGTACAATAATGATTTATTTACAGCTTCGGTATATATATACACTCCCTCAATATTTTAAAAATAATGAAAGCTAAAGAAAACTGGGCATTATTTCTACTTCTTTTACTACAACAGTTCATATCATGTTACTAGTCTCAAATACAACTATTATAACTAGTTTTTCTTATACTTACAGTAGGTATTTACAAAGACATCAGATGCTCAGTATAAATACAAAATGAACCATTTCTCACTCAAGTCAATATTTATCCATTGTATCTAGAACTTTAACTGAATGAATGTACACGAGGTCAGCCTCATAAAAGTAATATTTACTATAATTCCAAATTTACAAAGTGCATCATTGTAAAATGTGACAAGCTTTTAGTTTACAGTAAGAATCTGATTGTACACAATGAATCGGATGGGTTTCTGTAGTTTTTGTAAAAAAAGATATGTCTGTGAAATGCCTAAGTCAGTCTGACTCGGACAAGTTTGAGTGATGTCGGTATGAATAACAGAAATACTCTTGTCAGCTGTACAATTTACAAATTGCATAAGCATAACCACTAGGACTTGTTTATCTAAAGTATTTATCTGTATCCCCAAGTATTGTACGTTTAATTTTCTCTAACAAAACCTGTTGCAAAATCACCAATATTGGTAACCTTACATCAGATCCATAATAATATATTAACACTTTGTAAAAGGTCATGACATTCACACTTTGAGTTTGACCCAGCCATGTATATCACATATTATCAGGTTTAAAATAAGGAGTGAGGATTATACACTACAAAATATGTAGTAGTAACATAACCCAGGGGCTCTTAATTTGGCCCTATGTGGCAATACTTGTAACATATAAGATGGCATGCATAAAAGAAACCAAGCATTTGTATGCTAGCATTGCCATAATGCCTACCAAATATCTATATAACTTAAACTTAAGTGATATTTTAGTCAGACCTGTAACAGTATACCACTAATTTGTTAAGAGAACCATAGTACAAATTCACATTAAACATCTAGTAAGGATAGCAACACTGTTACAGTAAGTTTTTTACAAGTCTTACAAATGAATATACTTAGGGTGATACAGATAGATGTAGATGACCAATGTAAATTTATCTAAAGACTAGAAATATAATAGTTAGACAAACTGGTCAGTGAGTGTGACATTTACACAAAAATAATTTATTAACATTACACCACACAATCTAACAGTGTAACTGTAAACTTAACTTAAAAGTTAAATAACAAAGCCAAAGGGATAGTACTAGTACTATTAGTATTACTATTACTAGTATTAGTAATGTATTAGGAATCCAGGATTTTTATTACAAATTATTATTCCAGCTTAATTCGTACTCATTATTGTAAAAAATAAATGAATGAAAGGTAACGATGGAGTTAACCCTAAGCTCACTGATAATGCGACAAGTTTAACATATCAGTGAAAGAAAAGAAAAAAAGCATATTACAAGTTTTTCCTTAATAATTTGTAATATATAATACTAACGTTACAAACACATCGCCTAAACTACGTTATACTGTTATTACTATAAATAGAGAGACACCTGCAGGTTCAAATATCTCTCAAAAAATAAAAATATTTGTTTGTATATACAAAAATTTTAATGAGTTTACATTTAGCAAATATGTTGCAAATAGTTTACAATTGTTAATTAAAAAATACATATATTACAGAGACATAATAATAACAACAACAATAAAGTTTTAACATGAAACTTTCTCATGAATGAATTAAGAATAAAGCTGATTTATTCAGTGAACCTTGTAATTGCTTTTCGTCAGTCCTATTTCGACGGTGTGGCTGTACAGCCTTTCTTATGAATGCCTCATTTCTTAACCTTGGAAACGTCGTATAAAGTTGACTGTTAACTAATAAGATTAAAAGTGCAGTTTCATTAGTCCTTGCTTTAGCCTGTTTGTTTACTTCTTTAGCGATTATATTTTTATATTAAGCTACCTATCTTGTTTTTGTATTTTTTTAAGATTCCTATTTCTCTTTTGTAAATTAGACATAAATCTGTATAATAGCAATACTGTCCTACAGTTTGATTTAATGAAATACGTAGTTGTTGTATGATGCTCTCTTTGAAAACAATGAATTGGCTTCATTCAGATTAGATGGATATTGTTCCTGCAATCATTATCACAATGTTATCATTGATGTTGGTGGGCCGTCGCTGCAACTTACTTTATTTGAAACTAAATATTTTTGTTAAATAAAATATATAGCTATAAAATTTATGCCTCACTTTCGCCTAGAACCGCCATCGTTTTTGTCATCTACTGCTTCCACGATTTTTGCCACTCCTTATAGTCAGCTTGAATGATGCTTACGCTATCTGTAGTATATATATAACATTCACAACCGCACAGTGCTGACTACAATTCGACACTTATTCAGCCATCATTATGATTGCCGATCCGATACTCGAACTGAGCTTGGTACTATCTTTTAAACTACGGCTTAAAGATTTCTGTTGTGGGAGACAGCCTAGACATTTGTGTAACGTTTTAGACGTTTGTGTAACATGGCCCAATTCGATCATGCAGTGGTAAAAAAAAAACTGTTATTCTGTCAGCAGGGTTTTGTTCGAAAAGGCGGGAACTTGTACTCAAACAAATGATACGCAACATCAATATAGTTGCAACAATTAATACATATATTTTATTACAATTTACAGTTTTTACAGTAAGTAAGATTAGTTTTTAGAACAGATACGACGTTTCGATCACTGGTGCGATCATTATAAAGTACACAAGATTTTACAGTAAAACGCACTGGTGTGATCATTATCAAGTACACAAGTTTTTACAGTATAACGTTCTTTATTGTAAAAACTTGTGTACTTGATAATGATCGCACCAGTGATCGAAACGTCGTCCCTGTTCTAAAACTAATCTTACTTACTATAAAAGCTGTAAATTGTAATAAAATATACTTTATCAGTAAGTAAACTCAAAATGAAACAATTAATATATATAATAAGCAGTTTTTGTCTTCATGTCACGCTCCTTTATTGGTAATGGTCTACAATTTATATCGTTGCTTAGCAACAAACTACCAACTTATATTGTTGTTAGACCATCTACGGTGTTTATATTGAATACTTAATGTACGTGTCGACTTGTTTGAAAGGTTTGTTTGTTTTCTTTATTTTTTGATAACTTTGGTGATATATCAGTAAAATAGTTTAATTCAGAAATGATTTAGATTTAGAATTGATATATTTTCTTTTATGAGAAGATTTATGCAGTTCGGCCTAGGGTAAGTTATTGCACACTACGTTTTTACTTTAGGCTTAATTACGAAACAAATAGTATTTTAGGCTCTCTTATCGCATCGTGATAAGTGAAATAACATTTCATTTATATTTTTTCAGTTGTTTAATGAACATCTAAGTTTTTTTGACATTGAGTTGTAGACAAAAGCAAAATATACATTACCAAGTGTTTCAATGAAGTTGTGTTTCAGCTAAGCCTTACGTTACGTTTATATATTAGGCTTAATGCGTAAATTAGACAACAAATAGACCTACTATTACTAACGTTAGAATTAGATAATATTTAGTTACATGTGTAAAAGTGTGAACGCATAGTATTTAAACTACGCAATTAAAGAAATATTAACAGTAGAAACTATTAAATAAAGTTATTTACGTTTTTCAATTAATATCATCTTCCATTCGTTTTAGTTAAATCACGAAATCCATTCGTCCCCTTCACTAAAACTGACCTGTTATTACTACGTTATGAATTATAGTGTACGATTCCTTCTTCCTGTAATTTTCGTTAAACATTCAAAAATGTAATCAATAAGTTAGTTTAGAATTCATTTGCTTTGTTGGAATTAGTCTTTAAATTACAAAATAATTTTTTTTCTATTGTAAAACCATCAAATTATATGTATGTTTGGAAGAGATTCTCCAAATAAGTTAAATTAAATTTTAAAACGAATATATAAAAACAACTTATTATATTAATGAAAATACCATTAATTGTAGCACGTAAATCAAACTGGCAGTTCTGCATTTCTACGCATACATAACGTTAAACTGATTGTTTTAGAGCAGGAGTTCTGTAATTAACTAACAAAAGAGTGAATTCCTAGCTGTGTTTGAAAAATAATTCTCACGTCAACCTGTAGATAATATTGTCTTATAACTTTTCTCTGAGCTTCTGATCTGTCTGGCTGGAACGAGGGTCAGCAACAAAACAAAAACATGGAAGTGATTTCGGTTTAAAATTGTATAACCCTAGTCAGGAATACTTAGGGTCATACATAACCGGGGGTGTTCAGAAAATTATTTCCTCTTCACCCCGCACAAGATTTAAAATTTCATGGGTGGCTTAATGTTAATAGCATAACCAATAATTTACAGTAATAAGAATAAAAAAAAGGCATACATTAACTTGTGTATATAAGAGAACTGAGATCAGCAAGCAAGAACACCATGGACAGCCAGGAGCACAATCTACACTGGATACTAGTGAAGTCGTATAAGTAGTGTGAGTAGCACATTGTGTGGGTGGAAAACGGGAATACCCCGAAAAAAAAACCCACTTTCACTACTCGGACGCCGACCACGTCAGCATTGTCCTTATGACACTGTTTACAACTTTCAACGGAAAGCCTTTCTTCAGTAACCCAGTTTTGGTTTTCATTACTTCGTTTTGATAACACTTAACATTACTGCACAACTGTAAAACTCTGTCGATTAGACTGCTTTTAAAGCTATTTGGAATAAAGCCATCGAGACTGAAATATAAACAGATGACAACAGTCAGCTTCAAATCATTTATCCTAGTTCTTCTGCTGTGAATCGAATACACTCATGTTATTTCTCCACCCCGGTAAATCCGAGGGCTTATAACGCTAAAGGCTAGCCTTAACTCCATTAATCTGAACACAACACTCCCCACTTATAGCCAACTCAAGTAACTTGTGAAACTTGAATGTATTCAAACCATTATACTTCCAGTAAGTCATGCGTCAGTTTTATGTTTCGATAAAAAGATACTACATCAAAGCTAGCAACAAATATTATATTATAAGATTTTAAGTCTTTAACAAAAGAAGAACAATTCAAAACTGTCTTTAACTGTATAAAGGCTCCCTCCCCTCAGTGACAAGTCTGAAGGCTAATAACGCTAAAAGATGGGTTTCGATACCTATGATATAGCCCATTGTGTAGCTTTGTTGTTTAGAATTTGTCCAATAAACTTTTTAGTTTATTATTAGAAACCATAGTTGAGATTAGACTATCAATCTCGTGAACGATGGGTAGCTACCAGATTGGTGATAACTCCCTTTTTCTGTAACAAGTTTGTTTGTAGTTAAGCACAAAGCTACACAATAGGATATCTGCGTTGTGCCAGCCACTGGTATCGAAACCCGATGTTTAGCGTTATAAGTCCGCAGTTATCGCTGAGCCACTGAGGAGCATCCTGTAATAGGAGAAGAAACTTCTTCAACTCGGGCTTACTATGGTCCTTTCTAACAAAGTTTTTAAAGGTAATGACAGAATTCTTGCTCTAAGACGATGACGTCTACATGTATAATTATCCTCGATGTGAACGAGATTACTGACTCAACAGTTAAAACACGTAAATGATGCAATAAGTGAACAGTCGCTAATTCGAGGGCTTAAGGTGAATTCAACTATGGTGTTGTTTACTATTGTTGCCTTGAGTTTTTACTTCTGTTTAAAAACGTTGTTTCAAACATTTTGACTTGGTTCTCAGGATAATACAACTTTGATTATAACTTATTGTTTGATTCAAATTATACTGGTAAACAAATCGTGTAAGTCCTCAACTTCTCATTACCGGAAGTAAGGAACCGTCTCACCTACAATAAAAAGTGCGCCAAAAAGAGAACGTTTACTTCCCAGAATACTTGTGGAGGAGGGGGTGGGATACTAGAATGTTCCACGAAAAGGAAATTCGCAGATTTCTCACAGAGATAATATAGAGATCAATCTGTGGGTGTAGTAAACGTCTCAATATTGCTCAGATCAGTCTTGACCTTGTTTAACAAGCAGATTGTAAAGGAAGATGTGGTGAGACTTAACTTTGATTACTGTTTCCCCCACTGAAGATGAACGTCATGAAAAGGAAAGAGATACTAAATTAACTTTTTTATATTATAAAAGTAATTTCTAGCTAAAATAATGATTAGACATATACCATTTTTCCTATAAGTTGAATAAAAAGAACCCCCAAGAAAAGGTATACTGGCCCACATCTAACTCAT